CTCAAGAATGTGGCCTGACTACAGGTCATAAATCTGAACAAGCTACAAAGTTCCTTGTGTTTGTTGATGGAATACATGTAAATTACAGTATTTTCATCCATAAAGTTCTCTTGCTTTTGGAAGATCATTGTACCCTCTCAGAGTTCTCTTCACCCTTTGGCAATAGTTCTGATAATGCACTGGACTGAAGATCCTCATCTCAGACAAGGGACAGAAGAATTAGGATTTTGACCTTTAAAAACGATTGAGAGCCAGATCTTTTATTGCTGCTGGCTGCAATTTTAGGACTCAGATGTTTGCGCATGTTTTGAATGGCTCTTGTCTAATGCAGAGATTGTGAGCATCTGGGCAGGACAGCTTCCCCCTTATTTCAACTATTCAGTACACAGCAAAACTGAGTTTTCATTGGGTGATCTCATAGGCATGTGCTCTCATAGGCATGGCAGAATATTCTGTTCTGCCCCATTTCCACTTGGCTGGCTGCATTGGCCTCCTCTCTGATGCTCAGGTGAGTCAAGATTTGTATTTATATACTGCCCTTCACCTTACAGTTAAAGGGCTGTAAAATGGGTCTGCATTGGGTAAGGACTGCATCTCAGTGGGAGGTCCCAGGTTCACTCCCTGGCATTGCCAGGGAGGGTTAGGAAGATCTCTTCCCTGAAACCTTGGAGAGTCACTACCAATCAGTGTAGGCAATACTAAGCTGTCATGGACCAATGGTCTGACTCGGTATAAGGCAGCTTCCCTATGTTCCTGTGTATTGAAGTGGGTGAATCCTTCATGTCTGTTGATAGCGACGACACAGACCAAAACAAGCTGGTGTTTAAGATTCTAATATCATGAGCACTGAGCATGGTTTGTGTGTGTGTAGAAGTTTCCTACTTATCACTTTTTCTGAAAGTACCATTTCTGACAGGGAAGAAAAGCTGCTGCTGGTACACATCTTATTTTTGCCTCCGGTAAATGGGACTTTTCAGGGTTTTATCTTATTTCAAAAACCTCCCAGACCTGTTTGACCAAAGGCAACAGTGAGACATATAAAATGCTTGTGTACATAGTGGAAACTGAACACTCTCTCAATTCACATTCAAATATTGTAACATGTTTTCTCTTGCCAGCAGCCTGAGAGTGCACTGAGACTGGTGTTAGATTATACCCAATCCACAGACCAATCTGTTGTCTTCTTTACTTCAATTTTCTTTCTTCCTCTTGTATGCTGCTATTGCAAAGCTTATTTGCCATTGATAGTATCTGATTTTGATGCAGTTTTCTCTGTCCTTATATCATCAAATCATGTTTTTCATGTGTAGGCTATATTCCTTTTTCCAACTCATTCCTAAATGTATGCTTCTTTACAAACTTATGGGGTGTGTGTGTATGTGTATGTATTACAGCAGGCATAGGCAAACTCAGCCCGGACTACAATTCCAATCATCCCTGACCACTGGTCCTGTTAGCTAGGGATGATGGGAGCTGTAGTCCCAAAACAGTTGGAGGGCCAAGTTTGCCTATGGCAGTATTACAGTGTTATTTTTCTAGGAAAAGAGGTGCCGGAACTCACCATGAATGCCTCCCTTGTTCTCTTATAATGGCAATGGCAACCACCCGAGAGGTTGCAGAACTAAGTTCTGGTGAGTTCTGGCTGAAAAAATGCCATAATATAATGCAATGCAATGCAATAATGTTCAGGTCCCTGAAATCTTCCAACTGATGTGGTTAAGTCATTTTATGACACACATATAATTTCAAGGAAGAAAAACCAGAGCAGGGTCACATAATCACTGTTCGACATAGGAGTAGAGAGGGGAGGTTGAATGCTTAGGTGATTTTTAACCATGATGACATAAATCAAGCTGTTCAGAACAGTGAAACTCTGATTGCTGTATGGCGAGACAGGTTTTTGTTACAGGCCCTTCATTAAGAGGCACTGAAGTTTAGCCAGAAAGATGAACTTTCAGCTGTACTAAAACAAGTGTGGGAGAAAATTAGAGAAGGCTAGAACAACAACACATGAGTATTAGTTGAACTTTGTCCAGCTAGGCAGCCTAGCAGAATAACAAAATGAGGAGACAAACAAGCAAGTTCCTCTCTTTATTTCTTGGAACACATTTTGTTGTGGAGGGAGCTCTAGGACCATAGTTCAAAGTGTAGTGGATGGGTGAGGAGGAAGGAATGCCACGGCCCTGAAAGAATACCTCCAGCCACTAGCCCCACATTTCCTGATTAAAATAGATTTTAAAATAAGTATACAAAACAAAAAAAATATTGGAGAGAGGATACTGGAGAGGGGTGAAAGGCTATAGATGAGTGGTGAACACATGCCTTGCATACAGAGTCCCATCGTCAGTCCCCAGCATCTTTAGATAGCGCTGGGGGGAACCCTGGAGGGCTGATGCCAGTCAAGATAGACTAGTGTTGTGTGGATGTGTCCAAAGATTAAAGCCTGCTGGGATATGATATGTAATGAACTGAATTTTTTTTTTCAAAAATACCTTTAGTAAAAAACCAGAGGCTTTTTTTTATTAGGGATAATAGGTGAAGAAATTCTTTAAAAAGACATAAATATATTTATGTATGCTACCACGACAGCAAGCCCAGAAATGGAAGCAGTAGGAACTTCCAGCGTTAGAAGAATGGCAGACAAAGATGATTGCATATGCTGAGCTGGCGAGACTGATGGGAAAAATTCGAAACCAGTGCAACAAACTGTTTGAAAAGGACTGGAGTAAATTTGTACAATATATGAAGGAACATTGTAAACATTTGAAAACATTTGCAGGATTGATTTAAAATATTTTGATAGGTTATGATTTGATACCTGTTTATAAATACTAGAAGTAAGTCTTTTAAGTACAGTGGTACCTCGGGTTACATATGCTCCAGGTTACATATGCTTCAGGTTACAGACTCCGCTAACCCAGAAATAGTACCTTGGGTTAAGACCTTTGCTTCAGGACGAGGACAGAAATTGTGCTCCGGTGGTATGGGGCAATGGGAGGCTCCATTAGCTAAAGTGGTGCTTCAGGCTAAGAACAGTTTCAGGTTAAGAACGGACCTCCGGAACGAATTAAGTCCTTAACCCGAGGTACCACTGTATGGAGATAAGGTAAAATAGGGTGATTTAGAAATGCGAAGATAAAAGTGATTACATATGGAAGTCAGGGAGGGGGACGGGAGGAAGTCAAAGCTCAATTTGAGCAAAGATATATGTGATGAAGAAATTTTATTTGGTTGTTATATATAAAGGAAAAAAGAAAATTTAATAAACATTCAATAATAATAATAATAATAATAATAATAATAATAATAATAATGATTTATTTATACCCCACCCATCTGGCTGGGTTTCCCCAGCCACTCTGAGCGGCTTCCAACAAAATATTAAAATACAATAGTCCTTCAAACATTAAAAGCTTCCCTAAACAGGGCTAGACTAGTGTTGTGGCAAATATTTCTTATGAATTTTCTCCATCCATTAAAAGAAGTGGCATTTGAACATTTCTCAAAGAGAATAGGTTTTTTTTGGGGGGGGCGTGAAATATTAGAGGCATTGTTTCCATTGCAGCAGATGCTTGCCTGAAGTTTGGATCACCAAGGCAAAGCACTTCAGGGGTCCCTGAATCCACTTGTGGCAGCTTGTGGAGATACTGCATCACCTGTGACAAGCCAAATATACTCCTGAGATATTCTCTTTCACCTTGGGATTCCTCCAAGTCCAATGCACACCCTTAATAAATATTTCACAGAAGGATAGTCTTCTCTGAAATGCCAAACACCTGTGATTTCCATTCATTTTCAATGCTACGTGTGAGAATGCTTTGTACTTCCGAAAATTTGGCCATGAAAGGGCTGAGGAAGGATCTTGATCTCCACATTTTATGCAATTCACCAGTCATCATTGTCGCCGAGTTACAATGATTTAAAGGGAGCCTGAGAGGGATTTGCAAAATGCTGCACTGAAATAAATGGAAGTTGTACATTGGCTCTTTCTGGTGGATTGTACTTTCAGACTGTTTTTCTTCAAAACCATCCAAAGAGGAAGAAGAAGAAGAAGAGAAGAGTTTGGATTTGATATCCCGCCTTTCACTCCCTTTAAGGAGTCTCAAAGCGGCTAACATTCTCTTTTCCCTTCCTCCCCCACAACAAACACTCTGTGAGGTGAGTGGGGCTGAGAGACTTCAAAGAAGTGTGACTAGCCCAAGGTCACCCAGCAGCTGCATGTGGAGGAGCGGGGAAGCGAACCCGGTTCCCCAGATTACGAGACTACCGCTCTTAACCACTACACCACACTGGCTCTCTAAAAGAGCATTTTAGATACAACAAAACCATTTGTGCTCCTTTTCTGGAAAGCTTATTACACAACTTCATAGGTCTTTGAATGTGATTAACAAGGTAGACTAAAGTTCAGTTTATTTTTTAATAGTAAGAATCTATTTTTGGGGAACTGAGAGAAAGTAGCTTCAGCATTTTGGGCTTTGAACTTCTTGAAACAGATGGTATGAATTTTGTACCTAAGCTCATTCAGCACTTACTGCCGGCTGCTAGATTAGTCCTGGCAGTTAGATGGAAATTTCCAGTCCCTCTGAAAATTGGTTTTAAAAATGCCAGTATACAAAATTTTGGGGGGAATATCATTAGTTTTAAAAATTGGGGGAGGAAAGTATCTGGAAACCCTACATTTTTCAGAAATTCTCAAAACATTTTATGAAAGGAAAATATCAGAAGAAGCTGCCTGGACCTTGAGGTTTACATCAGAGGCCTTTCTCCACATGTCATCTCCAAGGAAGGTATAGAGGGTGGCAATGAAAAACAAGCAATGGAATACTCTCCTTAGGGAGGCCCACCTGGCACCAACTTTGTCATCCTTTTCGTGCCCAGGCAAGAATATTTCTGTTTTCCCGGGCACTTGGGCAGCACCAATGATTAGCTGTTTTTACTCTTGGTTATGTTTCTAAATATGTTCATTATTTTATTACTGTCTTTTCTTCTTTTTATTGTAGGAACCAATACACAAGTTCAACAAATCTAATCCTAACCTAATGTTTAGGAGAGTTTTCCCAGTCCAACCTTGCGGCCAACAAGAAAGCATGGTACAAAGTAAGTTCATCCACCCTTGGGCATGCTTCCTTGTCAACCATAAACTTCTATGGATACATCCTCCCTAAAGGGTTTTACTATTGTCCCTCCATCAGAGTGGATCAGGCTTAGCATGACCCTCCCAAAAACAACGCACATAGTCCCAGGTTCCATCCCTGGTATCTCCAGGTAGGGCTAGGAAGGACTCTTGTCTGAAAACCTGGAGAGCCATTATCACTCAGTGGGGACAGTACTGAGTTAGATGGACTAATGGTCTGACTCAGTAAGAGGTGGCTTCCTATATTCCTATGTGGAGGTTTCAGACGCAGACATGGAGGGAAGACAGGATATTGATAAATCCCTGGAGGAAAAGGATGGCAGGACACAAGTCTTGCAGGACCATGGACAGTTCACTGAGAGAAAGCAACTTACTCCAATGGAGTGCCAGCACCAGTCAATCCCTCTTAAATATGTTGGCCCACATTACTCCTCTCAGGTTCCAGCCCTTAAAGGCGATCCTCAGGCCTGCAACAATACAATCTGTTACTTCCTGCTTGGTAAACCCCCTGCACCCATGAGTAGGCACTGGGGATGAGAGGTGCCTGGCGCAATGGCATGTAGCCTATTGGAAGAAGCTCAGCCAGGAGAAATGATTTCTGAGGGCCCCAGCTTACAGGTCTTAAGCTTCTTCCTGGTTGCCAGCTTCAGGCTCTTGGCTGGGTCCCACACCTCTGCAGATGATGCCAGAGAGCTGGAGCTGAACATCACTTCCCACTTCAGATTTTGGGTGCTTCCTGAGGCTGGAGTCATGACAGTCTGATGTAAAAACTGAGCTAGGTTGCCTTCTACAAAATTTGAAGCAATTTATTCCCAAGGATTTAATAGCCTTGTTTTCCCATTTGGGATTACAAATACCTTGTGTACATCTCTCAATAGATAACTCTGTATCAGGAGTATGGTCCTCTAGATCAGTGTTTCCCAACCTTGTGCCTCCAGCTGTTTTTGGCCTACAATTCCCATCATCCCTTGCCACTGGTCTTGCTAGTCAGGGATGATGGGAGTTGTAGGCCAAAAACATCTGGAGGCACAAGGTTGGGAAACACTGCTCTAGATGTTGCTGGACCACGACTCTTGTATAATCTCCAATCACTGGCCATTCTGGCTGGGGCTGATGGGAGTTCAAGTCCAGAACCATCTGGATGGCCAGAGGTTTCATAACACTGCTTTATATCAAGCCCCCCAAATTCTGTGGCTATGATAATTATCCTGATAATAGTTCAAAGAAGCAAGATTAAGGTTGTGTATGCATTGAGAGGCAGCTCTGAAGATGGATTAATCAGCAAGAGTGACAGCTGGATCAAAGTTAGGGCAGCTGGGACAATTAAGAAATTTGTTATTTTGCAAAATAAAATGTGAACTCAGATATTTAGAACTCCATGGCAGCTACTATATTCTTCTTCTTCTTCTTCTTCTTCTTCTTCTTCTTCTTCTTCTTCTTCTTCTTCTCTTCTTTGACGATCACTCATTGCCTGGTAAGATTGTCTTCCAACACTATATTCTACATGTTGAGGATCATGCTGATCTGATCCCTAAACTTCCTGCTGTATGGTAAAGAAATACGGGTAATGTTACAACAGATCAGTTGCATGCAAATTATTGTTGGTAGCTATATATATATATATATATATGGCTGTACTGCATTTAGTTGTGCTCTGGCTTGGCTTCGTGTATAGGGGCGAGCTGTGGTTTTGTGTCCTGTGCCAGCCAGATCTGTGTAGGGATTGCAGGGGGGTGCAGCATCCGGAGGTGCCACCATGGTTTGGCTACTGGATGGTGTCTGTAATTTATCTGTGGAGAGGGTCTGGGTTTGGGTCTGGTGTGGTTGATTGGTGATGGCGTTCTGTGTGCCTCTGGATCTGGTGTCGGTTTTTGTGGGGAGGGCTAATTTCCAGATGTCTGGCAGGCGGGATGTGTCGTCACGCTTGTTCATGTTCTGAGGGTGTTTCTCTATCTCGATGGCTTTCCCGCCTGCCAGACATCTGGAAATTAGCCCTCCCCACAAAAACCGACACCAGATCCAGAGGCACACAGAACGCCATCACCAATCAACCACACCAGACCCAAACCCAGACCCTCTCCACAGATAAATTACAGACACCATCCAGTAGCCAAACCATGGTGGCACCTCCGGATGCTGCACCCCCCTGCAATCCCTACACAGATCTGGCTGGCACAGGACACAAAACCACAGCTCGCCCCTATACACGAAGCCAAGCCAGAGCACAACTAAATGCAGTACAGCCATCTTCTCAGAAAAACTCTTCACAAAGTTCAAGAGGTCAAGACACGAAGGCTTTAGCAACTAATCCACACCTAATGACCCACCTAAGTGGTACTCAGGATATCACTCAAGAAATCACTCAAGATATCCCTCAAGTAATTAAGGAACAAAAGAAGAAAAGGCACACTAGCCTGGGAACTTCCTCTCTGCCCAGAACATTGGAGGCTATACACCACACCCCCTCAACAGTATTTATAGGAACTCAAACACTGAGATCCTGCTCTGTTCCAGTAACAAGAAGCCGAAAGCACCAGCCTGAAGATGACGAGTGAGACCTCGTCGAAACGTCGCCTAGACACCCCAACTTTTACACGGGAAGACACCCGAGGACACCAAAACCTGCATTTATTATATATATATATATATATATATATATATATATATATATATATTGCCTTCTGAAACAAAAACAAGCATTCAGGCATTCAAAGGGATTTAGATTTTTCACCTAGGCAAACATTTGGAATTGTCATTTTAGTTACTGTAAAAGGCCTCTATCTATGTAACATTTGTGCTTCAAAATGGAAACCACAATCATACTGAGTGCATTAGCTTCTCAACGCACAATTCACGACTTTATCACTTTTTCTTGGCCTGGTATAGAAAAAGGCAATTAATCAATCAGACATAGGTTTTCTAGGTCTGGTCTTGATTTATGCATCTGCATTTAGTAGACCCTAAAGCAGAACGTTCTGATTTATTAGCAGTAAGCATATCTTGTTTGGTCTCCGAAAGACTTATATTATGGTGACAGGGAATAATATGAGCCTTCAGTAGATAGCTACGCAAATGTATATGCTTTCTTCTACCACTAGGCCCACCACAAGCAAATGAAAAGCGTTTTAGCTGAAGTGAGAAACAGAATACCAGTAAAATGCAGACGTTATCTCAATGCAGAATGAAAGTGGCCATTTTTTATTATCCTGCTTTTCAGAGTGCATTTTTCCATCTCTTAGTCTAACCACTGGGAAAAGTAACTTCTTAGTGATAAAATGTTTTGGGTAGGCTGATGACCTTAGAATCACCTTTTTAAAGAAACGAAATAAGTCAGAATATTATTCAATGATATTATTCATACAATTTATGGCAGAGTGAGTGTTTGAAGCCCCATGGAAATTTAGTGGAGATGGTACCAGTGCAATGATAACATACATTATGGCCCACATAATAGGCATCAGGTCAATTGTCCAATACCTTCTGAACTTAAAATGGAGGGAAGGAGGAATGGCAGATAGAATTGTCTGAAAATTGTGATGCCAAGCTTATCTATAAAGACTATTTTCAATTCCTGTCCTGCATCTTAATACTGATGTCAAGTGAGTTCCCTTACTTCTGATTATGGATACCATTTTCATGTGTTATTCAATGCATATAAAATTATACTATTATGTGCATTATACCACATATATTAATGGCATATGCTCCAACTTTCATAAAGTAACCAGATGCATAAATGGATATATAAACCAATGCATATAATGGTGTAAAATATATATTAATATACTCATAATGATGTGTGTCAGAAATATAGGACAGTGGGGAGCTGGACTCTTTTACAGTGGTACCTCGGGTTACAGACGCTTCAGGTTACAGACTCCGCTAACCCAGAAATAGTACCTTGGGTTAAGAATTTGACCTCACAATGAGAACAGAAATTGAGCGGCGGCATGTTGGCAGTGGGAGGCTCCATTAGCTAAAGTGGTACCTCAGGTTAAGAACAGTTTCAGGTTAAGAATGGACCTCCAGAACGAATTAAGTTCTGAACCTGAGGTACCACTGTATATGAAAAGTTTGCATATAATTTTGTGCATAGTTTTGCATATAATTAGTTGGGCTTTCAACACCCCCCACAACATTTTAGTTTTGCTGTTGATTAACCAACAGGTTTGTGATGAATGCTAGCCAGATTCAGCTCTTTTTGTAATAACTACTCAGCTTCTGATTAGCTCCTTGAATGCATACACAAATTCAAAGGCTGAAGTAAGCAAACTAAGTGTTATCCCTTGGCAAATGATCATGCAAACAGGTCCATGTATGACAACTTTCATAGTACTACACATAGCAAAAATCCTCTATCTGGACTATTTGGGCTTCATAAAAATTAAAAATTGATTGTAATAATTCAGGTCCTTTAGCTACTTTGTAGATCAACCTTGTCTAGTACATAAATTCAAATAATTAAAATATGCAACATAAGTGAAGTTCTGCAATGCTTGCACATTTGTTAATGCAGACAGGCTACTCTTATCACCAGCCCAAGCTTTTGGTCAATTTTCTGATCATTATCAGTTTCTCATAAATTGTAAGAAGTAAATAAGAATCCTATGAGATACAATGTAGCCAGTGCTAACATCTGCTCTGATCACAGAACTGTAGAGTTGGAGGGAACCCTGAGGGACATCTAGTCCAACCCCCTGCAATGCATGAATCTCAACTAAAGCATCCATGACAGATGACCATACAACCTCTGCTTAAAAATCTCCAGTGAAGGAGAGTTCACTTCCTTCTGAGGGAGTCCCTTCCACTGTTGAAGAGCTCTTACTATTAGAAAGTTCTTCCTGATGTATAGTTGGAATCTCCTTTCTTGAACTTTAAGTCATTGGTTCGGGTCCTACCCTTCAGAGCAGGAGAAAACAAGGTTGCTCCATCTTCCATGTGACAGCCCTTAAGATATTTGAAGATGACTATCATATCTCCTCTTTTCCAGGCTAAACATACTGAACTCCCTCAACCGTTCCTCAAAGGCTTGGATCCAGACACTTGACCATCTTGATCACCCTCCTCTGCACAAGTTCCAGCTTGTCAACATCCTTATTCAATTGTGGAGCCCAGAACTGGACACAGGACTCCAGGTATGGTCTGACCAAGACAGAATAGAGCAGAACTATTACTTCCCTTTATGTTGATGCAGCCTAGGATAGCATTACCCCCCCCCCCGCTGCATCACACTGTTGACTCACGTTCAGCTTGTGGCCTACTAAGACCCCTTGATCCTTTTCACATGTACTACTGGAAGCTAGGTGTGCCCATCTTATTTCTGTGCAGCTATGTAAGTGTAGGACCTTACATTTGTCCCTATGGAAATTCATTTTGTTAGTTTGGGTGCTGTTCTTCAATCTGTTAAGGTAATATTGAATCCCAATTCCGTCTTCTGCAGCATTTGCTATTGCTCCCAGTTTGGTGTCACCTGCAAAGTATCCTCTCAATATTTCATCCAAGTTGTTTATAAAGACATTGAACAACAATGGGCCCTGGACACAACCCTGTGGCACCCCACTTGTCACCTTTTTCTAGGATGATGAGGAACCTTTGGGTTCAGTCAGTCAACCTGCTACAATCCACCTAACAGTTGCCTTGTCCAGCCCACAAGAATATCACGGGAGACTTTGTCAAAAGCCTTAATGACATCAAGATACACTATGTCCGCAACGTTCCCCTGATCCACCAAGCTTGTAACTCTACCGAAAAAGAAATGAGATTTATCTGGTATGACTTGTTTTTGAGAAACCTATGCTGGGTCTTAGTAATCACAACATCCTTCTCACAGTGCTCACAGACCGATTGTTTAATTATCTGTTCTAGATAATTAAACACTCCTGGTATTGATATCAAGCTCACTGGTAGGTAGTTATCTAGGCCTTCTTTCCTCCTTGCTTTTTGAAGACAGGGACATTTGCCTGCCTCCATTCTGTAGGGACCTCACCTGTTCTCCAATAATTCTCAAAGATTATAGACAGAGACTCTGAGATTACATCCATAAGCTCCTTTCTTCCTTACTGAGAGAACCACAATTTATGGTTTGCTTATTCCTTAGTGTTAGTGTAGTGTACACTTGACTGCCATAATATCAATTATTTAAAATTTTGCTACACCATTGCTGGCTTCATGCTTCCTTTCATCGTGTTCATATATAAATAAACATTGTGGTTCAGTGTCTTTCATGAAGCGTGGGATTTAAGTAATCAACAATTTCTTTTCTTCCAAGATTTTATCTGAAGCCTAACCAAGTATGTCATTTTGTTGGACTTTACATTGAGGGAGCCATAATCTATCATGAGAAGCATATGAAAGGATAAGAGCTAGTCACTTTGCAGGCAATCTTCCCATACAGATAGTTATGCGGCTTGAATATATTAACTGAAAAGTATTATACTGTAGCCATGAATGTATTTGTATTTGAAATGTGTTAAATCCAAAATGAACATTATTTAAAATAACACATCCTCACACAATTCTAAGATTAGACTGAGCGATGATCCAATTCTTTTTAACCTTTCCTCTACAACACATAAAACATTTTTTCCTTGAGACATCTGGATTTAGTCTAGCAGAGAGGTAGCCAATGTGGAACTTCTAGATTTTTGCGGGACTACAATTTCCATCACTGTTGGCTATGCTAACTGGGGTTGATGGTAGTTGTAGTCCAAGAACATCTAGAGGGCACCATGTTGGCTAGTGCTTGTTTATCAAGAAGCTCAAGACACCATGAGTAAATATTAGGGTTCTTACATGTTATCTTTTGAAGCATTCTTTACTAAATAGCAATAACATGGAAGCATAACTGAGTTGTATTTCAGGACCCCGCTGTGACCAAAGGGGGACTTTCCCTATGTTTTTGCAGTCTTTCTCTGATTTAGAAGCGGCTGGTCTGATAAGCATGGCTCTTTGAGCAACTTATGACACAGGGTTGATGTTACCGAAGGGTTAAGGAATGATTTTCATGACATATATGGACACATTATGTTTTGCTTGTAATGTTAATGATGCAGTATTAAAATGTGACACCAGAGGGCACTGCAGAGCAACCAGGAACCCCGCAATAGGGAAACTGCGTTGTTACGGACAAAACAAGGTAAGGAACATTTTTTTTAATTTACCAGTATGCCCTGTGATATCTATTATAGTTCTAATAACGTTAAAAAGGTCAGTGTAGATCCAGCCATAGAGCAATGCTGGCTAGGCCCAGCTTCTGAGGGGATGTATCACATTCTTCTAGATAATCTTCTCATTTCACTAAGCAATGCCACCCCCATCATTTAGCCTGGACACTCAGGTTCAGCTCCGAGGCAGTTCCCTCACTGTGAGAAGTGAGGTTACAGGGAACCAGGCAGAGGACCTTCTCGGTAGTGGCGCCCACCTTGTGGAACACCCTCCCATCAGATGTCAAAGAAATAAACAACTATCTGACTTTTAGAAGACATCTGAAGGCAGCCCTGTATAGGGAAGTTTTTAATGTGTGGTGTTTTACTGTGGCTTTATAATTCATTTGAAGCTGCCCAGAGTAGTGTATCAGCAATTGAGTGGCAGTATTCTCAGCAGCAGGGAGCATCTGAGCTCCAGATGGAATAATCCATCATCTGGATTCTAGAATGTAGGTTAACCTGCTTTGGTAAAAAGGAACTACCACAACAGAATAGCAAGGAAGCAGGAAGTGGCCTATCAATGTCTACTGGTTATAGGTGCTAGATAAGCATTTCAGTTTTCATTCATGTGTATCCTAATTTTGTGATTCGACACATGTAGAAAATGTCTTGTAAGTCTGGCAAACTGAAAATCACGCCTGCCAAACTCATGCTGGCCCGCAGTCTCAACATGTGTTGAACTATTCACAAAATGGTCATGTTTTACATCCACTTTTTGTTGAGTGCAAAAAGTCACTGTAAGAGTTGACAAAAAGGTTATGTGAAGTTACAAAGCAACTCTTGGGATAAGTTCGTTGGGATTGACTGGTGGGATGCCATGACATTTGTGGTTCTGGGGCCATCACCGCAGCATAAAGGAAGAACAGCTGAAGAGAAAGACAAGGAAGATCAGCAGAGTGGAGAAGTCAAAAGCGAAGCAGAGGGAAAAGGTGAGGCAGACAAAGCAGCCTTCAGACAGGGAGGAAAAAGAAACTCAACAACAGTGGCCAGCACAAACAGACTGAGGAACTGTGAAAGTTACTGGTTTAACAATGGTAACAAACTGTACTTTGATATAAGCTGTGGCTTAGGGCTAGGCTTATTTGTATTTGTTTCTCATACTTTAAGGAACTTACCCCAGATGTCCTCATTCACCCATTCACCCATTATATCTGAGGATATAATGTCCATTCTGCATTTGCGAGATATCTACTATTCACCTACTTCTTGGAACTCCCGGCTCACTGATATTAGGCAGGCACCTTAGCGTATTGTTTTCAATGCCTGCAACAACAAAAAGTCTACCCAGACATGTAACTTTAAAATGTATTTGTCTAGCTGTTTTTTAAAAAACTGTTGACTATTTATATTTTGATAATTGTCATGTAAAATTTGCCTTTAATGTTTGATTTTATTAGTATTTGTAATGATTATTTTATATTGTTTTATGTAAGCTGCTCATTTTGAATCTGGGACATACTGAATGCAAAGCATGTGCTCTACCATTTTGCTACAGTCCCACTGTAATCTTCTGCTGATACTTACAGCAGTAATGAGGAACCTGTGTTCCTCCAATTGTGTTGGGACTCCCACTCCCATCAGCCTGTGCCTGCATGGTCATTGGTCAGGGATGATGGAAGTTGTAGTCCAGCAATATTTGGAAGGTAACATCTTCTCCACTTCTGCTCTACAGCGTTTTTCCCCTTAGTCACAAAAGGTTGCTATTGCTACACTCTCCAAGTTAGTTATAATTTAGATGTGTATTGCAGCACTTGAATACGGCACATAGCACTCATCATCACAGGGACACGTTCTGAAAAAGCTGCAATGTATATAGCCGATCTCTCAGTGAGTGGCCTTCATCCAACAGTTGTTAAATGGTTTTTGCTTCTTGCGGGTTCTACAAAAATAATCACTGTGCTTAGATTAATAAATTGCATCAGCTGTCTGGAATGTGGATTTTTAAAGATCTGAGCTGGTCTGCTTCAGCTTAGTGCTAACACAACTTTTCAGATGATTGTTCTGTACTAAGTTAGCACAGCCAGAGGCACACTGTGGGGGACACTTACATGATAGCTGCTACAACAGCATCATTGAGGACAAAAATTAGTAATAATACTTATTTAAGAGAACAGTGTTTCTTTAATATAATTTATTTTATCAGCAATTATGTGTTGTTTTTAGCAAAACCAAAGTGCCTCCCCTACAAATCTAGCCATATAAACAGGAGCGTGTCACATGTCAGCCTTCAGTTTATTTATTTTTTTCATCCTGTTCTACACAAGGTCCACAGCTACACATAAATTATTCTTCATGCAAAACAAAACAAAAAGCAAAAACAAAAAAGGAAAAGGAAAACTGGGCTATGCACCACTTAATTATGAAACTGGTATAATCAAACCTGTCATCTGTATCTTCCTAGAACTGAATTTTGCTGGATTGTTCTGTACTGTTTGGGAGACATCTTTTCATCACTGAAAAACATCAAAGGGCCTTAAGGCTTTGGGGTTATTGTTCAGGACAGACTTCCAAGATCTTTCATCAACTATTAAAACTGGATTAGCACCAACAACTCATTTTACACTTACTTTATGGCCAATAGAAGCACCAAACATGTATTCACTGAGCATGAAATGTGGATATGCATTTCAGATTACCAAACATGTAACAATGTCTTCCAGATTGTCAGCAGTAATGTTCCCTGTAAAGATCCAAATGGGCTGGGCTCCACACATGTAAGAACTAAAATATAGGCAATGTGGTGTCCATAGGCCATAACCAACCCCCCACCCCCAAAGAGAGACATGTTAAATGCCTTTGATGGCAAGCAAGTTAGAAAAAGTAAGTAGAGCATATGGCAAGCCTACTCACGCTTTTCATGCAGGCAACTTGTTGGAGAAGTGCGTGACACAGTCTCTCTATTCTGATACTCAAGTGAGGGAGGAGGCTAGGACTGTACAGGCTGCTCTTGCCATCTTTTCCCCAAAGCTGCTCATGCAGCTCCATGGCAGACCAAGGGCAAACTACGGTGGATAGCAAAAGCTCACCTGAGACAACTTAACATCTTCAGCCCAATCCAACCCCCTTCAGACTGGTTGAACCCACTAATGACGCTTCTCCAATATGGCTCTTTGGGCATGAACACTGCAACTCTGGAGGGTTTGTTTTGGATAGTACAAAAATCAAACAGAATGATTAGAACCTAAGTTTGGAAAGTATGATCTTGGAACTTCTATTTTCTCAAGACAGAGTGAAAAGTTACAAGAGGGCGCCTCATTGCTCTCCCCTTAGAAAATTACTTGATCTTCTGTTTATTTGCTTTCCGCAGGTTCATTTAATCTTAAGTGCTATCAAATGTTTATTTCTTTGTGGTTTTGTAAAACAACAAGAAGATAATCTTTAAGAAGAGGAATATAAACCTTTCAAGTACCAAGCTGTTAGATCAAAGCAAAGCTTCTGGCAAGAGCTTGTTTGCATGTTAATTAACACGAACAACTTCAGCTTTGCAAGAATCTAGCAACATAACTGTGTGGCAAACGTGTGTTTACTGCGTTGCTTCAGGAGCAAATTTAAAGCCAGCAGATGCTTTATACAGCCTGAGTGATTCTGCTTAGAAGAAAGTATATTTTAATAGACAGGTGAGACATCTTTCAGTTTTTTTATAAAAACACTCTCATGGATTGGCTACCAAACCTGACACCCACACCTACCAAACCTGGATTTTGAAACAATGTGACCAAGATTTGGTCTAATGACTTCCATGGTTCCCAAGAACATTCCTGCATTGATAAGGCAACAACACAAACAATATATGGGGAAGGTACAAGACCACAAGAACCTCCACCAACAACAGCCCACAGGACTATGTAATAATATACTTTTCCACAGCAGCACCAACCCCTGTGTGCCGATAGGCATCCATTAGCAAAATTGCTTCCCCCAATGGATGAAGAAATATGCAGAGAGAGGCAGCACTGTTCCCCCTAGAATTTTGAGAAAGATTCCAGCAAAATCAGTGCAATAACAATCAGGCCCTACTGCTCTGAAACTCCCAGACAAAAATCTGCTGCTGGGATTTGTCTGTGGTTCTTCCACAGGCCTGCTGTAAGCCAGCAAGCAAGAGCCCCTGGCCAAGCTCCCAGGCACTGGGGAAGCTGCCAGCAGAGCTGCTAGCAACAAAAAAACCCCAAGAAACTGCTAGCTAATTTGCACAGAACAGCCCTCACAAAAGAGATAAACCCAGCAACCTTCAGTTCACCAGCAGCTTCTATACTTGTATCCTAAGATCAGCTTAAGCCAGAGGTTTTTGTCTCCATGGCTCCCTTGACTAACTACATTCTTTCTGTGGCACCCCTGTGGGGCTCAGGAGCCCAGTTATGTCACCCCTTGCCTGCAGAGCTGGCAGCCTCTCACCCTTTTTCAAACTCTCTTGTGGAGTGTTCCCTCAGCCTCCTCTTCCCTCTCCTTGGGAGTCCTGCAGGCAGCCCCTGTCCCTCCTGTCCCAGAGAGAGGTGTCTCTTCACACTGCCCACAGGGGCCTGGGACTTGTCTGTCCATTCCCATCAGAAAGGGCTGGGCTCCCTCTCCTGCTTGCTTGCTTACTCCAAGGCCACCTCAGTTCCTGGCAACCAGCACCCCCTGGCTAGCCCCAGAGGCACCATTCGCCTGGGGAGCTTGTAGCCAGAGCTGCTGCAACAAAGAGCTGGGCAAGCCTTTGGGAAGCGGAGACAAGAGAAGGCATAAGAGGAGGGAGTGAAGAAAAGAGGGGCAGAGACCAGTGTTGCCCGCGACACACCTGACCATCATTCAAGGCACCCCAGGGTGCCACGGCACACTGGTTGAAAACCACTCGCTTAAGCCATGGATTATTATGTGGTTCTGGTGGCACTTTTCGTTTAATTACATGGAAGACATATTTACTTGTTTCAGTATTTATTCCAGAAGCCATATCCTTTGATTTTAGGCTGCAATCTTACAGTGTGACTTCTGAGCAGATATGTATAGGATTGTACTGATGCAAACCTATCAATACAGTGGTACCTCGGGTTACATACGCTTCAGGTTACAGACTCCACTATCCCAGAAATAGTACCTCGGGTTAAGAACTTTGCTTCAGGATGAGAACAGAAATCGTGCAGCTGCGGCGCAGCGGCAGCAGGAGGCCCCATTAGCTAAAGTGGTGCTTCAGGTTAAGAACAGTTTCAGGCTAAGAACAGACCTCCAGAACGAATTAAGTTCTTAACCCGAGGTACCACTGTACATGTTTTTGCCACCTTCGAAAAAGCACATTATAATATTGTTTGTCACCTTGTGAGGGTGCAGCTCTAAAAAGTGGCTTAGAAATACTTTTAAAAAAAATTAAATTTGTGTTTGTTGCATATTGGTCAATAAAACCCTATGCATGCCTATCAAAAGTAAAAGTTACTTGCAGGTAAGTATGTATAGGAGTGGTGGGGAACCTGTGGCCTTACAGATAGAATAACAGAACAGTAGAGTTGGAAAGGGTCCCCAAGTTGTCTAGTCCCTGCAATGAAGGAATCCTGCCCACAGCTGTCCCTGGGTAGGCTCAAACCACCAGCCTTTTGGTTAACAGCCAGATGCACTGACCCATTGCACCACCTTAAGACAGGGAAAGACATGCTTTGGATGTGGAAGAGCACAATTCACATGCAAAAGGTCTCAGGTTCTGTTCTTCGATGTAGGTTTGGGAGAGGACCCTGCCTAAAACCCGAGGCAGCTGCTGTCAGTCAGTGAAGATAGTATTGTGCTGGGTGGAGTAATAATTCAACTCTGTATAATGAGGCAGTTCTGTTACTGGACTCCCAACTCTGATCGGACTCGACCATTGGCTGCGTCCACCAACATCTGGAAGGTGTGCAGACTTACCATCCCCAAGTTACAGGATTCCCGCCTAGCGGAAGCACCCATATTAAGAACTGTAAAGCAGCAAGTGTAATCCTGATGACAAGACGGCTGTATCAAGAGCAGAGCCAGATTTAGGTTTGATGAGGCCCTAAGCTACTGAAGGTAATGGGGCCCTTTATATGTCCAGCTGTCCTTTGCCAACAACAAATTGTTGCTGTTTTTGTGTTGAGTATATGCTATATGGCCATTTATGGACCTAATAGGTATCTAAAGCCATTTTATTTGTTTTTTATCTTATATTTTGGAAATGTACATCCAGGTTTTTTTTCTTTAAAATGTTTTGGGGCCCCCAAGAATGTGGGGACCTAAGCTATAGCTTGTTTAGCTTATACGTAAATCTGTCACTGATCAAGAGCACTTTGCATTTATATCTCGGCTTTTTCTTCAAGATGGTGTGCGCAGTTCTTCCCGCCCGCGCACCCCGTGCTCATATAATCCCCCCAACAACCGCCCTGTGAGGTAGGTGAGTCAAGTCCACAAGCAAGCGGAGAAAAAGTGTCTCGTGCGAGGGGTTCCCTTAAGTCTATCACGGCATATATCTGTCCACAGACAAATATATGCCGTCTCCAAAGGGCAGGCCAAGTCACGAAGCCTTTACAACTGGGAGACAGCTAACAGCGATGCGCTCCGGAGGGGGGGCAGGGGGCGTGGTTTCGGGACGCTGCTCGGGCTGCATCCGCCGTGCGCGAGGGAGGCGCTTCTTCTCGTGAGGGGAGCGAGAAGAAGGGAGGCGGGGCCGAGCAGGCGGATTGGCCCGGCGGCGGCCGTGACGTCACCCTGCGCGCGGCGGCAGATTCGAAACTCCTCGGGCGCAGGCGCGGCTGGAGCAGGAAGGCCGCTCTACTTGAGAGAAAAGAGAGGGAGCCGCCGCCGCCGGGATGAAGAACACCGTTCCGCGGAGCACCGTGAAGAAGCTGCTGAGCAAGCACAAGCCGCACTTGCGCATGCGCGCCAACACCGACCTGCTGGTGAGGGGGGGGGGGCAGGGAGCGAAGGCGGTGTGTGGGGAAGGGGAGGCCGGAAGAAGCCCAGTGGCCTGTCTCCCACGGAGGTCGGTCGGATACTCCCGGGAAAACCGCTTGCTTATACCTGAAGGGACCTTAGTGCCTCGCCGGTCGCTCTCCAGGATCAGGGACAGGCCTTGGCAGATCTCGGCGCCCCGTGAAAGGAAGCGGGTGTGTCTAGGGGACTTCGGTTATCCGCAGCTGGTGTTGCGGGTTTTCGTGCCGGGTGCCCCCACCCGTCGCCGTATGTGATGGCGCTTTCGCTAGTGCTGTGACGTGCCATAGGAGATAGAGTCATAAAATTGTAAGAGTTGGAAGGGACGCCAAGGGTCATCTAGTCCAACCCCCCGTGGCGCAGGAAGGGGTGTTTAGGGTGCCACCCAAGCTGTTTGGCCAGGGTTTCAGAACTCACACCCATGAAGTGTACAATAGTAGTATTATCTACCTTTCTTCATTGTTTCCTCCACTCCCCTGTTTGCAGCAACCAGCAGGCACCAGTTTCTCAAAAGTTGTGTGAAACAGCCATCACGTTTTCAGTGTGAGTGTGCTCTGAGGAGATATGTGGATGTTGACAGCACAGAGGTCAAGTAATATATTTGCATCCTTAGTGTAAGATTTAAGGAACATTAGTTTGTGTGGAGTGCTTCATTAATCAACAGGTAGTGGCTTTTAAGCATTTCTTTGGAAATAACACTGCACTCTTCTTTTAAAGGTACATTTGAATGTCTTACTGTTTCTCCATCGACTAGCTATAGAAACCAGGACCAATGCTATTGCGGAAAAGAGCAAAACAATTAAATCTCGACACGTTCGCTCTTCAGCAAAGGTAATTGCAGTTTAACAGCTGAATTTTTTTATTGAATCGATAAGTATTTAAACACTGTAAACACCTCACACATTAATACTAAATATCAAGGGGAATGTTAAGGTCTGTTCATTAGATTACACTTTATGTTACCAATATAGCATTTGTTGTACTGTGTTTATTAAATGGGTTGGTGGGGGATCAAGCTTATATAATGATGTTTCCAATGTGTTTAAAATATGTGGTACCAAATCATATTTGGATATCTAAAATATTTTTAGGCTGCTTTCTAGAGCAAGGCTCTAATCGGACAGATCCCATCATATAAATATAGAATCCCAAAGTTTAATTAAAAATAGAACACCCCCCCCAAAAAAAACAGCATTAAAGGCAGCAATAGGACAATAACCATAAAACAGCAAGTTGGATTTTTTAAAAAAAATCTTTATGGCTAACCCCACTTTTCTGGTAGTAAGTTCCGTTGAATTCAATATGACTTACTTCTGAACCCTCATAGTTAGGCTTGCACTTTCTGAACAGGTTGTTATATAATACTGCATGACAAATCATAATAAAATTGATAGAATAAAATCAGTGCTCATTACCAGGGTACTTCAACAAGAGACATTGTGACAACTCGGATAGTACAACCAACCACATTTGGTTCCACAATTCCCTTTAAGTACAAACTCAGAAAAAACTACCATATTTATCTTGAGAGACAATGGAGTGTGCCTCCAGGAGTGAAGTCAAACTGCTATGTTAGCAGCACCAAAGTGACTTCTCTGGGGCGCAAGCCTGGGTGTGTATGGAGAGCCTAGAAGACTCCACTCTCAGCCTTGCTGATGTAATCAAATGGAAAGCAGAGCAATATGTTTGGCACCAGCTTGGCTGCATGAGCTGCCAGGAGGCGGCTTACAAGGCGTCATCCAACTGTCTTAGGGACTCCACTCTGGATTTGTGTAGGGTTTACTCCTTAGCCTTTTCTTCTCCTGAAGATATTCCACAAGGCAGGGGAGGTTTAGGTCCAGAGTTTTCCTTCTTATAGATGGGCTACCTTCCCAGGTTGACATGCCCCACCTGTCCCTCACTTCCTTCTACAGCACGTGCAGAAACTGCCTTCTTGACCATTGGACCCATGAGTACAGTGGTACCTCTGGATGCGAATGGGATCCGTTCTGGAGCCCCTTTTGCATCCTGAGCAAAACGCAACCCGTGTCTGCGTGTGCGTGGGTCACGATTCGCCTTATACAGTGAAGGGGGACAAATTTTTTAACAGAACTTAAGAGCCAGATTTTCTAGGAGTCTGCTAAGAGGGAGTAAGCTTACTAGTAAAAGAGGGGATCTTTATTAGTATACTGTATTTTTCAACAGTTTTTCTCTCCATTCCCAAGACTTTTTGCTTAATTTCTATCCAGACAGCCTTGAAATACCTTCTGGTTTGGAAGCCCTTGCCCACAGTCTTTTAAGAACTGTGGTTGGCTGGTTGTAATTACTCACTAGTTGGAGGAAAGGACTCTGCATGCATAAGTTGGAATGTACGCAGACCAACCTGATAAACAGCTATAGTGGTGCTCCAGTGTCAAGCTACCTTGGATGTTGACATGATATAGCTTTCTCTATTGCACAGCACAAGTTGGTGCTGAGTGAAGGTTATGTGACAACCCTATCTCTGATAAATTGGAGATGAGAATACTGCTAATGGGATATGGCTAGGCTGTAAAGGAAGGAGATGCTAAAGAAGCAAGAGCAGGCAGCAGCCAGACTCTGTCCTATGTAGTGGCAGTGCCTGGAGCATTAGAAAGGTGCAGGTTCCTGCAAATTGAGTTACTCTGCAAGGACATAGGCATGAGGCAGCTAGCAGCACAGATTGAAGGCTTTCTCTGCTTTAGACTTCTAAGTTTCACTCTCCAGGCTAATTTTAAAATTGTGAGCAGTACTAGATAGCTTCTAGTGAGGACTACCAGCTGCACATCTCCGGAAAGGTAAAAATGTCTACAGCCTCAGGACTGTGGGAAGAGTTCCTGACAAAAAGCTGCTACTTGCATAATCTCTGAAGCTGCTATTTGTATTTCAAGAAAAAACCTGAAAGGGTGTGACACAATGCTATTTTACCTGCTGAAAGATTTCCAGTGACTGCCTGAGCAGGAGAGCAAAAGCTCTGTCCACTGACCTTCTGAATAAGTAACTTTGCTCTTGTCATCGGAGAAGGGTTAGCCTGACCATGTCTTGGGAGGCTTATATATATTATTATTGCTGTTTGTGTCTTTTTCAGAGAGCTTGTTTTATAAAGTTGAAGTTTTCAGAATCTATTGGGCAGTTGTGCAACATATAATTTTGATTGAATTGCTCCCAAGTCATTGAATAATACTGTGAAAAAGTCTTGAAAAACCCGCATCTATGTATCCATATGCAAAGTTATAGCCGTCCTATCTGAACTATGCACCATGTTAAGAAAAGGAACAAAGCAGAGAACACGGGCTACCATTCAAACTCTGGCTTACAGCAGCTGTAGTAAGATCATTTAATTTTTCTAGTTGTGTACCCACCCCTTCTTTTTTGTTTTGGGGCAGGGAAGATTTGCAGGCAGCGGAGAGGGGATTAACTTTGCTGATGGCAGATGAAAACTCACAAGGAGACTCATTAAGTGCTCTTCCCCAAAAGGAAGTTTTAGACAGGATGTCATCATAGGGAAGCCCTATCAACCATTTAGTTTATTAATGCAAATCAGTTAAGTTGACTTTGTAGTAGTTTAGAAAAATGTGATATTCCTATTTTTTTTATAAGCCCTTTGATCTAATGCATCTCATGTTAAGTATTGGTCTATCTTTATTTGAAATAACAGCTTTATATATCTGAAGGTACTGTATTTTGTTCCCCGCTCAGGTTGTTTTAAAGAAGAGCCGAGGCTAAAGTCAAGAAGTATTCCTTCATCCCCTGATTGATTCTGCGTAATTACTGTCGTACATGTGCTGAGGTTAAAATATCTGAATTTTGTATTTCTATTTTTCATATTCATATTTTTTCATATTTTTCAGTAGATAGATAGCCAAAGCCAATGCCATTGTTATTTGCAGGAGCTCACTACTTACTTTTTAATTAGGGCAATGTAATAAAACTGATGTGTATAATTAATACAATAGACAAATGCAAGTTTTAACCTTGTAATGTGTTCACTTGTTTATAATGATTAAGCAAGATGCCTTCTATGAGACTATGGCAAATGTTAGAAGCCACTTTTAATTCTCTATATAAAGTTACTTCTAGAAAAACAAAATATTTCTCTTTCTTTCTCTGAATGAATATTTATCAACAGGGTTGCTGTAAATATGCATCTTTTCACTTGTTTATAAACCTTTTTGGTTTTTGAGATTATTTTAAGTAACATCACAAATAAAATATTATGGTTAAGCAAATGTTTGATGTAGGGGATTCAAATTGGGAAGTAGAACATTTACAAAACAGTTTGTAAACAGAATATGAAAACAAATGTTTCAGAATGATTTATAGCAATAAAGCTCTGCACAACTTCCCTCACTTGTTCATTTCACATGCTTTTCACTGTATCACAGAGTAAAAGGAGAGGTGTTTTAGACATGGTAAATCCTGTTGGGGCCGGTTGCAGCAGCAGTTCCTAGGAAAGGACAGACACTGATATATTCTTTCTCTTCCTTTACTGGTGTTGGAGATGGCTAAAGGAATGGAAAGCCCTGAAGTGTTCCCCTCACCCTCCTGTATTCATTTTTGGAAGAAGTAGCAAGTCTGTTATCTCTCTTTTTTTATACAGGAAAGATAGAAAAAGTGTAACTGGAAGCCTTGGTCCCTATGCCTGTATCTTTCCTTTCCACAGCTAACTGTACCCAAGAATACCAACCACAGGCTTCTAACTTCGGTCTCGTCATTCATATTTGGAATGCGAATCTAAACTACTAAGTATAAATCCTTCAAAGGGATAGAAAAATTGCAAACATTTAAAACTCCCACTTATTACCAGTGTTTTGCAAAATGAAAGCCATTCACTTTCAAAACTTGTGGGTTGTTTCATGTATGCTACTTAGAAATATGATTAAGTACATGGTTAAGTCCCTTTTAATTGAATAGGGAATATACGAAAGCATTTATTTTTTCATTGCCCTAGTGAAAGCAGAGTTTTAAAATTATTCTTTTTGTGTATTAGGGCTTAGTGTTTCTGTTTGAGTGAAATAAACTGTGACATAGACATTGCATCTTTTGGAAATTTCTTGCCTCAGTGAATGTTCCTTTTGTAACCATAAGATGGGGATAGAGCTAAGTGTCCCATTTATTTTCATCATGTGCAGGCTTCTATTTTATTAAATATGTTCTTTTTCTAGAATTAGCATTTTGCATTATGCTACTGGCAGTCATGATGCGTCCCAAGTTTTTATTGCTGACAGATGTGGGGCAATTAAGGGTTTCATTTTAAAATTGTTCACATAAAGGAAGGAAACTACTTTCGAGCTTTCATGTATCTTGTTAATGAAGTCTGAGTAGAAAGAAGCTAAATGTTCTGTGTTTTGACAGCATCCTGAAGACATTTCATTTTCTACACTAACAAGTGTCATCCAATCATCCAGAGTAATTAATCAACAATGGGTGATTAACACTTCAGAGGTTATGGTTGACATAAAATCTGAATGTATATTTTAATTAATGCTCATGTGTTTAATAAGGCACTGGTTTCTGTATCTGTTTGAGAATAATTTTAGTATTGCATCTATAACATTGCATGTGACGTTGAATGAAAATTAACCTCCCCCTCAATATTGGAGGGGAGAAACTGTTACTAAATTGTTACGTTGCCTGGCCCTGTAAATTCTTGGTGTTCTAGAGGAAATGTGCTTTTATGTGTAGTAATTTTTCAATGAAGGTAGAAGGCAAATGTTTTAAATAGCTACTCAGCCATTGGGATGTAATAAATATCCCTTGGGAAAGCCAAACCCAGGCAAATACTTTATTGAAGAACTGCTGGAGAAAAATTCTTAACATAACATTAAAAAGAGCCCTGCTTAATCCAACCAAAGGCCTATCTAGTCCAGCATCTTATTTCTCAGTGGCCAGCTAAATACCTTTGGGAAGCTCATGATCAGGACATAAAGGCAATAGCCCTCTCTCAGGGTTGTTTTCCAGAGACTGTTATTCAGAGTTATGCTGCCTCTGTTTTTGGAAGTATTACGCAGTAGTAGTTGTCCTCCATGAACTTGTCAAAACCTGTTTTAAAGCCAAGCGCATAGCCCTCAACATATCCATAGCTGTCAACTTTTCCCTTTTCTTGCGAGGAATCCCATTCGGAATAAGGGAATTTCCCTTAAAAAAAGGGAAAAGTTGACAGCTATTCATATCTTAGAGCGAATTCCATAGTTTCACCATGCTGCGTCAAGAAGTACTGCCTTATATCTTTTTAGAAGAAACTTAGTTGCTTGTATGGAGCTCTCATGTGAATTGTGCCTGTCTTCTTCATTTATCTGAGCTGCCTTTACTCTGCATCTTTTATATCTCAGTTTCTGAAGATATCCTAGATTTGCTAGATTTGCACCATGCGCACATTCCATGTGTCTTGGTATCTTGGTGGTACGTACAAATGACTTTTGTATATTGTTTCCGAAGGGTGGTTTTTTTTAGTGTTCATGTCAGAAAAAGGATCCTCTGCTGAGTGCTTCCTGTGCCAAAATAACCCTCACGTTTTGTTGGCCATTCCTCAGGCAAATTAGGCCCCTTTAACGTTACTTTGGCAGTGTGAGAGATGCTTGGCTCTTTGTTGTATCTTGAGGTTAATGTGAGAAAACCTTGACCATGTTGGAGGAGTCCAATTTGTGGGTCTTTTCAGTTTTAGTATTGCAAAAGCAGTACAATAGGAAGGGTCTATATAATGAGAACTATCTAAGTGCTACTTGACTGCACAATGATGCCGTGGATGCTGTCAAAACACAGACGCTTTTCCATGTTCAGCATGCAGTGTTAAGTATGGTCACTAGGTGGTAAGAATCATTTACACTAGTTCTAAAAGGAACTCTTAAACTCTGCTCTTAAAAATGGCCCTGCATGAGGATTTTACTAGTGTTACGATTTCTAGAACTTCAGCTCCTCATAGAAAGGGTCACATTTACAAACATGGGTTCCAAATAAAGTGGTTGAATAAATTAGCAGGAAGCTTGTATGTAACTTTTCTGCCAGTTGGTCAGGACAGTATATAAAATTATAAACTAGCATGCCACAACAATGGTCTGTCTATGGTTATCCAAATTCCTAAGTATCTGTTCTTTTGGAAGAGCTGTTAACAGTTACAAAAGGAATTTCCAAATTCTTCCCACTATTTTCTTATAGAAACGGGAGAGCAAGTGGCACACGTGCTGCCAAATTACATGTGATGTTGGTCGCATAGCTCTGCCTTTAACTGCAGTGTGTATGTCTGTGTGTGATTACAAATAGCCAGTACTAGGCCCACAAACCAGGCTGGAACTCTTGCATGCTGTTACCAGGCTTCAATCCTTTACCCCACCCACTGTGAGCCTGATCTGCATTGCAAAATAAAGAGGTCACCCCCCCCTCAACTGGACCTCTTTTTGCAAAAACACAGGTAACAGTTGCCCAGAACCTGATCGTAGTTGGGCCCACAGCAGCAGCCAGAGTTAAAGCCCTCACATCACCATGCTGGCTTTTTGTTAGAGCCCCAGCTCTTAAGGATTGTGTCATGGGACTAATGTGACATAAATGTCTCCCCTTAAAACTACCATTTCTGTTAGCTTTTAATGAAAGCAAAAGTATATCTAATAACATTAAATCTTTAATTTCCTGGGAGCTCAAGAATATTGCAGCAATTGACTTCCGGTCGGCGCCAGCGTTTAATGGCGGTCCTTGCCTCGAGCTCCGAGGCAGGACTGCTCCGCGAGTTCGGGTCTGACCCGCTACGGCGAGCGGGGGACCCCTAAAATCACAGGCGCTGAAGCCTGTGAACAAGGAGACTCGGCGGGCACCTTTTGCGCCCCCCGGTATTGCGAAAGAGCCTTTTTAAAGGCTCCGGAGCGGCATCGGGTGTGAGCGCGGTGCTGAGAGTCGCAACCCAGCTCGCAGAGTGAAGCCGCGTCGCCATTGAACGGAGAGCGCCGATTCCTTCCTGAAACTGGAATTTGATCTCAAAACCCGTGAGTAAGACTGACAGACGTAAAACGGGACATTTAAATTAAATTCTGGAAATTTGGCTGAAAACGGGAAAGGCATAAAGTAAGGAAGTCTGCCTCCCCGGACTGCATGACAATCAAAGCAACGAGAGAACAAAGCTGCATTTAAATGAAGGTTAACTTTTAAGCTGTCAAATCCTGACATCTGACTTAAACTTCCCCCCAGTAAGCAGGAGAAGGGGGGAAGGAAAATTGGACATTGTAAACCTGCTTGAAGTAAAGTGTGGAAAAAGATCTTTCACTGTCAAAACCCTGGAACGGGCTGCCGAAGTAAGGCACCGGGAAAGTGAACTGTCAGCTCAAACTGGATACAAAGTTGGGGTTTTGACTGAAACAAAGTTATGAGACTTTAATGGAGTTACTTTGTTGAACGTTTGAATATATTGAAAGTGTAATAAGAACTTTAACTGTAGACTTTTGGACTCTTTGTTTCTGAACCCTTTGTTCTCTGCCTCATGTTTTTATGGCCAACTGGATACATTTATGCTCCCTCTAGAGGATTTAAAGAGAACTTGCTACAGTGAAAGGAAAAGAGTGGAATTCTCCACTTGCAAATCTTTCCTGTGAGAACTGACCTTGAGGATATGAGTGGCCAACCAGAAGAGATAACAACTAGATCAAAAGCAAAACAAACTCAGCAAGCTCAGAAGAAAAGGGGCTCGATGCAAGGCACAACACCAGCTGGACAGGAAAAAGTGGCAACCGCATCTATGGAATCAATGACACATGCATTGCTTAAAATAAACCAGTCTTTGGAAGCATTGACAAAGCAGTCAGCGGAGAACTCAAAAAAATTGAATGATTTAACAACAAGACTGGACTTGAACACGGCAAGTGTAGCTTCTAATACAGAATCTATAAATAAATTGATCCAAGAAAATTCTGAAACAAGAAAAATTGCTCAAAGTGCAAAAGATATTGCAGATGAGACAAAAAAGGAGCTTGCACCAATCACAAAAAAGGTGAATGAACATGATGCAACCCTATCTTTATGGGAACTCCAGAGAAAAGAGAAGAATTTGAAATTAAGATTGGTTCCAGAGAGCGAGAAAGATAATCTTGCGGAATTCCTCACAGATAACATCTTGGAATTTTGGCAGGACGAGTTACAGGAGGAAGAACTTGAAATAACAACAGCCTTCCGGCTGGGCAGAAAGCAAGGTAAGAAGCCTAGGGATTGTCTGATTACATTGAGATCCAAAGAAGAAAGAGACAAAATATTAAATCTACATTACCATAAGGCTCTTGAAATTCAGAATAGTCAAGTCCAGATCTTCAAAGACATCCCTAAATATATCTTGGAGGTGAGAGCCCTTTATAAAGATTTGGTCTACCTGCTGAAGAAAAACAACATACTCTTCAGGTGGGAGTTCCCACAAGGACTATCTTTTAACTACACAGGAAGGAAGATCAAAATAAAAACAGTTCAAGACAAAGAACAGTTTTTGGAAAGATACCAGGAGGATTTGCAGAAAGGAGTAGTAGAAACAACAGCAGACAAAGAATCGACAGACATTGCAAATCTCTCATTTGGACTTTTACCACCTTCGGAGGAGGAACAAAAACTTGGAGCAGTTGGAGGAATAGGCACATAGTAGTAAAATGTCTCTGCAACTTCTCAGCTGGAATTGTAATGGTTTGAACCTTCCCAGAAAAAGACGCCAAGTTTTCCATATTTTGAAGAGAGAGCAACTAGATATAATATGTTTACAAGAAACGCATGTGACCAGGATACACAGGAAATTACTTACAAATAAGAGACTTGGACAAGAATTTATCTCATCAGACAAAGTTAAAAAAAGAGGCGTCGTGATTTATGCAAAAGAAAAATTGACTCCTAAAATGATATTTAAAGATGAACAAGGAAGATACCTGGCAATAGAAGTACAAGTTCAAGGAGAAAAAATTATGATATTGGGAATATATGCACCAAATGAAGGGAAGGCGGAATTTTTCAAGAAGTTGCATGAGACTTTAATGGATTACCTGGATTATAAAATTATAATGATGGGAGACATGAATG